TTTCTTTTTAAAAATCACTGTTTTGGGGGTCAGTAATACATACCCATAGAACAAAATTTATTGTTATAGAACAAAACAGTACAAAGTAAACAAATGTACACCTCGGTCCCCAGTGACCAGTTCCCTCTTCTGAGGGTAAGTGTTGTGACCAATTTCTTGTACATCCTTCCAGACAGAAATGTGTCTGTGATATACAGTTGCAGAAAGATGATATACAGGCATGCAAAAACGATATAGGAGTATCACAATAAATTGTAGATTAATATGGAAACACCAAATATCATGATAATTTTGAATCTCCTTATCCTAAGAATAGATTATGCTTCTTGATTTATCAAAGCATTTTCTTTTTCTTTCCTTTTCTTTAAAGATTTTATTGATTTATTTTTAGAGAAAGGGGAACAGAGGGAGAGAGAGAGGGAGAGAAACATCGACATGTGGTTGCCTCTCGTGCACCTCCAACTGGGGACCTGGCCTGCAACCCAGGCATGTGCCCTTATTGGGAATTGAACTGGCAACGCTTTGCTTCACAGACCATCACTCAATCCACTGAGCCACACTAGCCAGGGCTCTTTCGTTATTTTTTTAATTCTAGTCCCATGTTGGGCATGCTTCTTTTTCTCTTCCTCCAATCTGCTTTCTTTTGGTTTAAAATTTTTTAATTTTTTAATTTTACATTACCTTTATTTATATATTTTAAATTAAATTTATTGGGGTACACTGGTTAAAACATGATATACACTTCAGGTGTGCAACTAAAGAGTAAAACAACTGTTATGACACAACATCTGTGTACCCCATTGTACTCTCATCACCTGAAGTCTGGTCTCCTTCTGCCACCTTATATTTGACCTCCTTTGCTCTCCTCATCCTTCCGCTGGTTATATTCTGTTACAGAATGAGGAAACTGCTTGACTTAGTAACTTCCCCACCTGGAATTTCAAATGAGGCAGATTGCTAGGGAAGCTCCCACTGGTACCCTGACTGCCTTGTTGGGTGACGTAGAATCCAGACCAATGCCTTAGCACAAAGAAGCTCCCTGGAGCAGTGGGATATTTGACTTGGACCTTGAAGTATGGGTAGAAGATTACCTTTACCCACATCCCCTTAGTATACAATGTAGTGAAGAGATAGTCGTGGGTTCGAATGTCAGCTCCACCATCTTCCCAGCTGAATAACTTACATTTATCTTCTCTGACCCTCACCTTCCTTAATTGTTATTTTAAATTATTTATTTATTTTTTAAAAAGATGTTATTTATTTATTTTTAGAGAGGGAAGGGAGGAAGAGAGAGAGAGAGAGAGAGAGAGAAACATCAATGTGCGGTTGCTGGAGGCCATGGCCTGCAACCCAGGCATGTGCCCTGACTGGGAATCGAACCTGCGACACTTTGGTTTGCAGCCCACGCTCAATCCACTGAGCTACGCCAGCCAGGGCTTAATTGTTTTTTTGTTTTTTTTTTAAGGAACTTCTTTAATCCTACAAAGGGTATCTTTTTAAAAAAAGATTTTATTTATTTATTTTTAGGGAGAAGAGAAGAGAGGGAGAGAGGAAGAGAAACATCAATGTGAAAGAGAAACAGCAATTGGTTGCCTCTTGTACATGTCTCAACGGGGGTCTGGCGGGGGTTGTTGGAACTGAACCCACAACCCAGGCATGTATCCTGACAGGGAATCAAACTAGAGACCTTTTGCTCTGTGGGACAATGCTCAACCAACTGAGCCACACTGGTCAGGGCCTCCTTGATTGTTAAATGGGGACAATGAAAACGATTTTGCTGAAACACCATCAGAAATAAAGGTGACTGGATATAAAACCACCCAGCTAGGTGTCTGGCAGGCAGCTTGGGAGCTCGGTGGTTGAGACTGTGGACAGATGGATATAATAGCAATAGCTAGTCCCTGCAGAGCACTTACCACATGCCAGGCACCATTCCAAGCACTTAACATAGATTTACTTATCAACGATCCTCTTAAATAGGTACTATTTTTAGGCCCATTTTACAGGGGAGAAACTGAAGCACAAAGAGGTTAAACAAGTTATCTGAGCTGGTAAATGACAGAGGCAAGACTGGAACCCAGGCAGTCTGACCCCAGAGTCCACTGTTCATAACACTTGACTCTACTGCCCTAACTGTAGAAGGTGGGGTTGAGACAGTCATCCAGAAGCACCACAGACTCAGGAGTGGGAGGAAGGAAGTGTGTCATCAGGAGAGGTTTTCTGGATGTTCCATGAAGGTGGCATTTGAATAAAGACCTGAAGGAGCCCTGGCTGGTGTAGCTCAATAGATTGAGCACAGGCTGTGAACCAAAGGGTCGCCGGTTCGATTCCCAGTCAGGGCACATGCCTGGGTTGCAGGCCAGGTCCCTAGTGAGGGCTCTGTGAGAGGCAACCATACACTGATGTTTCTCTCCCTCTCTTTCTCCCTCCCTCCCACCTCTCTAAAAATAAAAAAAATAAAATGAAACCTTAAAAAAAGATGAAAAAAAACCCCATAAAAAAAAAAGACCTGAAGGAGGCAAGGGACTGGGAATTGCAGGAATTCTGGGAAAAAAATGTTCTGTGGAGGGAGAAGAGCAAATGCAAAGGCCCGGAGGCAAGGGTGTGTTTGGCTGATTCGAGGAATAGCAAGGAGGCCACCGGGCTGGGGTGGAGAGCCAAAGGGAGAGTAGAAAGAGATTAGGTCAGAAGGGTGTGCGGGGTGCAGAGAGAGAACACATCACCCATCTTCAAGATTAGCGCGTGCGTTATAAAAAACATGACTTTAGAATGCAAAATATACATGCTTTTCAAAGCTCGAAGACGAGACTTGAGGCGGTGTGCTTATGGACGCTCCTCTGCATAAACATTCTCTCCTTCTGTCTCCCTGTGCAGACCAGCTTGGCCATCCATGTGACACAGGGGCGGAAACTGGGAAATGTTGGTGTGAGTGACCATGAACAGGATTCTAAGCAGAGCCTCTGGGTGAGCCTGGGAGATCATTACCCTCTCAGGGCTCTGTGGGGGACGATGCCATTGGCTTCCTCCCAGTTAGGATCTGAGTTTAGTCAGTGGGGCAGAAAAATCCCAGGTCTGCTTACTCTCCAGACCCTGGTCATCATCCTGGTCATCATCACAGCTAATATTCACTGATTCAAAGTACACTTGATAAACCCTCAGACACACCTCTGAAGCCAGCCTTGAAGTAGTCCTTTGCCTCAGGGTCAGCCTGGGCCCTTCTTTGAGGCTCCATTTGATCTTTTAGATCTGGATCTTCTCGGATCTGCTTTGAACTGGTTCACCATTTTGGTTCCTTTTCAGGCAGCAGGAAGGAGGAAGGCTGGAAGGGAACTTTGGAATAGCTCGTGATTCTGTGAGAAACTAACATTGGATTCAGTTCAGAGTCCAGCCAGGCGGTCAGTTTGTCTCTGGCTCATGTCCCCAGTTAGGGGGCAGCCTCCTGGTGCTTCTTTTCAACAAACAAGCTGGTCATAGAGGGAGCTGAGTATGATGCTGGCCGGCAGGGGTGAGCAGGGACACCCGAAGGCCCAATGCACTGATAGCAGCCATCACTGACTGAACAAGACTCAAGGACCAGTAATTGTCCTTGCCTTAGGCGTAATGAAACTGAGGTTTAGGAGTGGGTTTAGGGACCTTGAAGTTTCAGGACAGTCTGACTCCAGAGTATGTTGTGATTCTAATCTCTGGAGCCTGTTGCCTCTTTGTCCGGGTCCCTACAAGAATACGTGAGCAACTTGCTTTGATCTGGAAGAGGAGGAATTTGCAGGTTTCACTGTATTTTATGCATACATTTAATTTGTTCAAACATTAAGTCATCTGTGAAACTTATTGCCATGCGCTAAAGATGTGGAGACAAACTATGTTTGGCCGTTCTGGGACTCATCATTCAACCTAACCAGGGAAGTGGGGAGGAGTAGCTAGCTATGAGTCAAATATTAGAGTCAGAAGAGGGAACAAGTAACTGTCTCCAGAGGGAATGACATTTGCCCAGTCATTCAACAGTAGCAAACCTGGATTGGGTGCTACTGACTGGCTCAAAGTATCACAGCCCCTGTCCTCAGTGCAACTTTTCCGGTTGGAGGACCGCTACATCAAAACCGACCTGGTGCTTGTTAAGATGTGAACTTCTCCCTTCTCTGGAGGAGAATCAGAGAATCGGATAAGGCAGAGCTGGGAGTAGCACCCAGGTGGAGCTGATCACACCCAAGATTGCCAGGTGACTGGGGGGAAGAAATCAGTCCAGGCAGGAGCGAAAAGCATGGAGAATAGTTTGGGGGTCTTTCATGGCCTGCAGACACTGGAGTTGCAGTTCAAGACTAAGTTCTGGGAGAAGAGGGATCCTGTTCCCTCTCCTTTTATCACCCGGGGCCTGGAACACAGGCCTCCTAAATATTTGGGATATATTCACCTGGCAAACTTGAGTGTTCATCAGATTCACCTGGGTGCTAGGCCGGCTCCCAAAGGAGAAGTGTCCAGAGAGTCAAAGGGAAAAACGAAGACGTCAGAGGAGGAAAGGAAATACGTTTCTAAGGGGATGAAAACTTTTCAAAAAGTTGGCCTGGAAAAAAGCAGCCCCATCTATCAGGGAGTTGGGGAAGTGGCCCCTTCAGGAAAGAGCAATGATTCACGAGGCTACAGCCGGGGAGAACCTACTAGCCTCTTCAGGCAGGCTGAAGGTGTGAGATCACGGGGCGCAACTCCAGCAGCAGCTGCACAGCCTCGCCCGAGCTGCCGCGGGAGGCGGTGTCAGGCTCCAACCGGCGGGGGATCTTCCTTCCCGCCCCCTTGGGGGGAGTGGCTCTGGGTCCACGCCCCCGAGCATGGGCCACGCCCCCTTAGCTGCCTCGGGGCGCCGGGGCGGTGGTTTGTCTACAATCCCGCTCGGGGCCACGCCCCCGGGGTCCGGCAGTCCTATTTCCTCTGGAGAGTTGAGCTCCGGGCCTTGCCCCGCCCCCATCGAGGCCCCGCCCCTGGGTCCCGCCCGGTGACTAGAAGCCGCTCCGGCTGGGCCGGCCCCAGAGTCGCGCTCGAGGCGTGGGGTGGTGCCGAGAAGCCCGGACTGTCCTAGAAGGCGCAGTGCGGCTGGAGGCCACTCCAGAGAACCCCGGGAGCAGAAGCAGCAGCCGCTACCACTGTCCGCGGAGCCCACCGAGCCGGCCATGGCGTTGTCGATGCCGCTAAACGGGCTGAAGGAAGAAGACAAAGATCCCATCATTGAGCTCTTCGTCAAGGTGAGAGCGCTCGCGCGCCGTCCCGCTCAGCTGAACACCCCGCGCCCGCCCGGCTGGCTGCCGGGGGCGGCGTCCCTGGGCGTGGGACGCTCGCTAGCCCCCGCGCCCCCGCAGCGCCCCCGCGCGGCGCGCGGCATCCGGGAATGAGGAAAGCACTGCTCTCGCACCCCTGGCCCATTGTCTCCGGGCGCCCGCGCCTTCCGCCGCCGAGGTTGGCCCAGGGAGCCGGGGTGGGACCGGGACCGCCGAAACCTAGCGCCCCGGGGCTGTCGTCACTGCCTTCATTCAGCCGCGCGGGCTCCGGCGGACGCCAGACGGTGGTCCCGCGTCCCTGTGGGAGGACTAGCTGCTCCCCCTGGGGCCCCGGAGTCCCTGTCACCGCACCGCGCCGGGCGCCCGACCCCCCATCCCACTCCTCCGTCCTCCGATTCCACCCCTAGTCAGGGAGCCGAACCCTCGAGCCAGTGGGGAGATGAACTGAACTTTGGACGCTTTCTGAAAGAGCATTCTTCTCCCCGCTGGTGTGAAACCGTAACTTGAATTGTCCATGCAATCTTGATTTCTTGTTTTTAAAAAGAGCAGACATGCTTGGGCTTCCGGGAAAGCCCGAGATTCCTAGCCTGGGTTTTCCTGAGTTAGGTATTTTACCACCATCTGGTTTTCTTGTTTCTGAAACGCGGAATGTTTTGTATGATGCAACATTTTGGCTGCTCCCCTCGGTGTTGCTGCCTCGGGAAGGTTGTGTGCACTCTTTTGTTTTGAAAGAAAAGCTGGTGAGAGGGGCAAAGAAATTCATAACTTGTTTGGGCTTTCGAGGGTTGATTTCCCCCTCTGGTCTGTTCAATTGTTGTATCCTGGAACTATCGAATTTGCTTACAAATACTACCCCTGCCCCTTTCTTTCGTTTTTTTTTTTTTCTTTAATATTTTTCACTGGAGCAAAGGGAGGAGTAGAAGAACATCTGGATCCAGCTGCCCCCCTCAAACCTTCTTTAAAATCCTCTAGACTCTCCGAGTCACTTACTTCAGCAGACTGATTCAGAGCTAGGCTCTGAAGGGAAAGTTAACAGAAATCCAGAAGAATTTTGTTCCATTTTCCCTGAGTTTTTAGTGAAGGACCCTTTTAATGAAGGAAGGACATTGAAGGGTGTGTTTGAGATAGGGAGAGAAGAACTGATCTGCAAGGGCTTAAAACAGTGTCAGTTTTAGGATTTTCTTTAGGTTATCGCTTTTAGAAACACTTTGGCCTAGGAGACTGAAACAGGAGATAGGTATAGAAACCCCAGAATATCTTAAAAGAGTCTCAGTTACTTTGGGTGGCAGACAGAGTACTCTGAAGAGCAGAGAATGTAGGGAGGAAGCTGAAAGAAGAGAAAGGGTGGAAGGCAGCCTGGAGAAGGGCGAGGGGTGGGTCAGAGATCAGTGCTAAAAATGTTTTACTGGGCTAGGCATAGGAGGGGATTTCCATAAACTCAAAAACAGTGTATCTACTAAAAACAAACAAAACCCATGATTCTTAATGGCAAAACTTTAGAAGTGGCATTAAATTTAGAATGTGATAAGGATACTATCAGTAATGGTTGCTTTTCAGCATGGGACTGGAGGTCCTAGCCAATACCATAGGACAAGATAAAACGAAGTATGCAAATTAGAGAGGAAGAGATCAATGCTCAATGCCCTGCTTATTATTAAAATTTAATCCTTAAATTAGGAGGAGAGGGACGTGGTGCATTTGTTTCCCCAAAATGAGTCACTTGCATGCTCTTTCCCAGTTTTTTATATTTGTGGTAGATCCGTATTAATATTTACTAAATACAACTAATTTCTTGAAACCGTAGCTTAGCCTTAAGTAATAACACCTGTGAAAGTATGGATTAGGTGTGGTTTGAAGTATAACGACAAAAAAGTATTTGTGAACCAGCTAAAAGCATCCTGTTTACCAGTAGTTATAAGCCTCTCTCGCTGTCCTTGGTGGCAGAGAACCAGGGCTCTAGTCACAATTCTTTACTCGCTGGCTTGGTTGCCTTGGGCGTGTTGCTTTCCTCCCTGAGACTGACTTTCCTTGTTTGTGAAGCAAGAGGTGAAGTGTTTTTGCTTGTCCTGTGATTCAGCATAGGCAAAACTTTGTACTGATGTAAACCAGGATAAGTGTTTCAAAGGGAATAAGGGTGGGGGGGGGGCAGACAAATGATGGTAAAGAGTATTTTTTATTTCTTCTCAAAACCTATGTGCAGGGCCCTGGCTGTCGTAGCTCAGTGGATTGCTCAGTGGATTGAGCTTGGGCTGCAAACCAGGCATCGCAGGTTCAATTCCCAGTCAGAGCACATGCCTAGGTTGCAGGCCATGGCCCCCAGTAACCGCACATTGATGTTTCTCTCCCTCTGTCTCTCTCTCTTTCTCTCTCTTTTCTTTCCCTCTCTAAAAATAAATAAATAAATAAAATCTTAAAAAAATACCTCTATGTGCAGGAAATGCAAATGGGGGAAATACCCTTGTCAATGTAGTTATTTTGAAAGCAGTGAGGGGGCAGAGGCCATGGCTGTCCAGTGTTGTATTTTAAACACTGTTAATTATTCCACCAAAGGGTTTCTGTGGCAGAAAACTATTATCTGCACTTAAAGCACACGAGTGAGAAATATATTGAGGCTACTTGCTTAGGTAGCTTTAAATGTAAGAGAAATAGGCTAGGACCCTCCCAGCTAGTGTGACTGGACTCAAAGCTGCATTTCCTTTTCTTGTGAGTATTGTTTTGGAATTATTTGCCAGTGAGTCGGGTGACTCCCCATTACTCATATAATAGCAGCTGTCTATTTAAGGGTAGGGACCTTCATAACAGTAAAGAGGCTCACAAAGGCGGTCATACTCAACAGTGAGAGTGCTCATTTCCGCCACCCTGAGCGACCTGATAGGTGTATATTTTGATAACACCGGCCCCAGTTGGGAACCCCCAACCGACGAGGTAAAGTTCAATCCCTTTAGCCTGGGTTTCTAATCCAATTTGTTCACTTACTAATCGTGTTTCCAGACACTTTGCTTAAACCCTTTTGTGCCTCATCTGCACAATTGGGATATTAATAGACCAACCTCATGGGATTAAATTGGTTCATGTATGTGGCATGGAACAGTGACTGGTACACAGGAAGCAAGTACATGCTGATTGTGTGTCATTTTGTATGAACATAGGTAGATGCAGATTCCTCTGCTGGTCAGTAAGGAATTGGGGTGGTGGTTATACAGACAAAACAAAACACAAAAAAACATGGGCAGAGTGGTTTAACATATAAGAATAGCTGTTTCTTTTGAGATATTTGGCAGGGTTTCTAATGTGCTTGGACCCTGGAGCCAGACTGCTTGGCTTTGATGTGGCTTCCAGTAGTGTCAGGGGGATGTCGTAAGTTCTTAGTGCCTTATTTTCCTGACCTCTAGTACTGGGATAAGAAGAATAACAATTTCATAGGGCTGCTGAGGGGGTTAACTGGTAGTCTGTGTGTATTAACTGGAGTAGTCTAAGCTGCTGTAATGAAGAATCCATGCCAAACAGTGTCTCCAATAAGATACAAGTTTATTTTTTTTCTTGCCCAGCAGTCCAGTTAGGGTGTCCTAGGTGTTGGGGTGGCTTTCCTCCTGAGAGTCGGGTAGGGGTTAAAGCTCTTCTCAGCTTGTTTTCCACCTACCCCAGAGCATTGTCCTCTGAGGAGTCAGAGCTGGTGGCCGAGAGGTCCTGGCTCAGCCAGCAGGAGGTGGAGAGTATGGGGGAGGCATATTTCTCTTTAGGGCCCCAGCCCAGAAGTTCTACCTGTCACTTCCTTTCCTGCTGCGTTGGGGAGAACTTAATCACATGGTTTCATCTGATTGCAAGGAATGCCGGAAAATGTGACCCAGTCATATACCACCCTGTGTACGGCTTTAGAAATAGCGCTTGGCACACAGTAAACACCTATTTTCGTTATTGGTGACAGTATATTATTCCTAAATGTGGGCTTCATTAATAGGGTTCAGGGATTCTGTAAATCCTTGAAATTACGTAAAAGATGCTATGTGAGGTATCCCCCTGCAGATGCCTAACCCAGCCTAACCCAAGGGTTAAGAACTATTTTTCCAAAAAAGTAAGTAGTGACATTCTGATTGTCAAGCTTAATTCCTATAAACAAAGTATAGAAGAGAGGTTTGGGCTAGATGATCATTAAAGTCACGTCCATCTGATCACCGGTGACTTCTCCTGGCATGAACTAAGTGCCTAATACTGAGGTAAGTACTATGGGAGATACAAGAAATAATTAAACATTTCCTATCTTCCGGTATATAAATTTTATTGGAAAGAAAACCATACATACAGGGGTGTCTAACCTGTGGCCTGCTTGGCTGCATGCAGCCCAGGATGGCTGTGAATGCGGCCCAACACAAAACCGTAATTCACTTAAAACACTGCGAGATTTTTTTAGATTACATGTCTCAATGTATTTAATGTGAGGCCCAAGACAACTCTTCTTCCAGCGTGGTGCAGAGACGCCAAAAGGTTGGACACCCCTTTCATGGTACCTGCTTAAGGAGTCAAGTGTGGTTCACATTAAGTTGGGCTAGGAGATGGGGAAAGATGATGGTAGATGAACTTGGCCTTAAAAGCCAGTGAAGTAGGTGTTGGAAATAGCAAAGAATGGGAATGTTAGTTGTGACATCATTTGTAAACTCTTTATGCAGGAAGCAATAGGTAGATTGATAATTTTGAAAGGAGGAACCAGGAATGTTTCAAATCCATAGTGTCAGGGAGACAAGTTATTTAAAAGTTGAGGATGAGACTTTTAAGACCTAACTTGAGTTTTTGCTCATACACACGATTTTCCTAGCCTTGCTTGTTCTCACAGCACTTTCCTGTTTATGGGTTGCTGTCTATTCAACAGCTTCCCAGTGGGTTTGGGTCATACAAATGGGCAAACTCTTAGCTGCTCTGCCCGGAGAAAGTGGGAGTTCTCTCTGCGGTTTCAAGGGCAGGCTTCCACCTCC